TAGACTTGTGGATGTCCAGGTGGCATAGCAGGTCAAAGACTGCTTCCTCCTGGATTGTGGGGGGTTTATTCCACTCACTGTCCCCATCCTTCCAGCTCAGGAGGCTGGCTACCCTGGGGATAACTTGTCGGGCCATTAAAGACATTAAACACTCCACTTTAATCAGGTCATTCTGAGATGCCAGAATACAAAGCTAAGCTTAGACTTGCCTAGGAGTAACTTCTGAAGGACTCAAGTCTTTGTGCTTCCAATTTTTAACTACCAATTACTTCTCAAATTATGCTATGACTACAATAATGCTGTTTGTACAAACATTTTCATTTTGACTCATGGCCACAGACTCAATGACTCAAGTTCTGTGAAATTCTATTAGAGACAGAAGGTTTGACTGATAGTTCATTAAAAACAATTATATGGAAGCAAGGAATACAATGTACAACAGTACTAGAATAAAACAGTGTTAGAATTTTCCCCCTCCTCTCCCTGGCAGCTCTTCCACAGACTTTTGACATAGCCTCAGTAAATTATTCAAGTAAATAAAAAAGGTGGAGACTTAAAGCCAGGATACAGACCTAAGAAGGTAGAACAGAATTTACCGAGCCTCCACAAGAGCTACCCTTACTGTGGTCCGTCCATTAAAGCACTTACAGAGAATGCAGTTCCAAGTAAGCAAATGTGTGATTTTACAGAACATTAAGATACTCCATACCACACTCCTGTCGGGGTACTTGAGGGATTATTGTCACTGTTCAGGGACAATGTCCCACATTTCTATGTTATTCAGAAAAAAAAAAAAGTAGCATACCTTCTCTGTTCTCCAGAGGTGAAAACTTGATCTTTTTCTACATTCCCCTGCCCACTTAGTATGTAGAAAACTTACATTCTTAGCCTGAGACATTAAAACTGGTTAATCAAGTGAGGTAACACAAACCCCCTCTCTATTCTTAGCTCACGCTATACAGTAAAGACTGCAGCTCCCTTTAAGTTCCTGTACAAGGATCTAGTGAAGAGTAGCTGGTTCCTTATTAACTCAATGACTAGTTCACTGTACATTAGCACACAGACACCTTCTAGCATAGCTAA